TTAAACAATAAAATAAAATGCAAAAAAGAAGTCCTCACTAGTTTTATGGAACACAGGTACTTTACATATTGGCGTAGTTAGATTCCCTTGACGCTGAACCTGAGATGGGAATTGCTGAGACAGTGACTTACTGAGAAGTGACTCAGAAGAAAGGAAGGGAGAGAAGCAGTATGGGGCAGGGAGGAGCTGAGCGAGGACGTTCTGGGAGAGCTATGGAGTTGGTCTCCCCTTGAGACAAGGGGCCAGGTCTCCCCACGGCCCCTTGGCTCATGGCTCCCATTCGGCAGAGACCAATTCTCCAGAGAGGGGGGCAGCTGCGAAGAGCTGCACTGGCCTGGTGAAGGGAACCAGGGAGGCACAACAGAATTCACAACACACACCTCATGGACCTCTCACAACAGCCTCGGGGTGGGTGTGGCTCTTCCCATTGGACAGGAAGCTGGCATAACTTACGTGAGGGCTCCTGGCTGGGCTGTGGAAGAGCTGGGATTTGAGTGCGGCCTGCTGGGGTCCCAGGCCAGTTCCTCTCCTCTTTCTACGCCTCCCAGGTCACACAACCAGGAGCTAGGAACCCCTGTAACTCCTGCCGGCTCTGCTCCCAACTGGGGAAGAGCTGATCTCTACCAGGCCCTCCCCCCTCCGAAGAGCGGATGGGCCAGAAACCATGCCTGTGAACAGCAGCAGGTCTCAGACCACCCAGGCAAGTCTGGCACAAAAGAAATGCCAGCTCCGGGGAGGAGGGAAAAGTGATCATATGTAAACGCTAAAGCTGCTCTGCAGGAATTTTGTGGAGACTTGCAAAAGCCAAACAATGGAGCATGAATTTGCAAAAGAAACTTCAAGCCCAAAAGAGCTGGTTTGAAAGTTTTTAGAGGAGGATACAGTTGGCTGATGTATATCCTGTCAGAACCTCTGTCTCAGCTGCAGTTTCTAAATAAAGAAGATGGGGTTTCAGGAAGAGCAGGTTTTCAACATGATGAAAATGGATGTTCTAGAAGCAAACATCTCCCAGAAATGGCTTCCAGCTTATGTCCAGAGCTTTGCACATAATAGCTGCCCAATAAACATTTGCTAAATGGGTAAACATTGTACTTAACTGTATTTATAAACTGCATTTTATGCCATTTAGAGTGTTTATCCTCTGAATCCTCTATTGGCTACAAGACTTTCATTTTGCCACATGTTTATGTCAATCCTTCAGTAGCTGGGAGAACACATTTCCTGCAGTGGATGAGGCAACACACGGTGATTGCATGTTTGTGTGCAAATGTCGTGTGTGAGTTCAAGCAAGCACTCCAAGGAAAACACTCGAAAGAAATATACAGTATTTTTGCCATTAAGAACTAGAGGCCAGTGGAGCCCAACCAAGCCACTGGGAGCTGTAGGTCCCAGAGAGTCCATTATTCCTCAGCAAAACGGCATGAATAACATGCCACAGGTTTCCCATGTGCTAGTTTGTGAAAAGACCACAATACTTTGCAGCACCTCCCATTAACAGGTGGAGTCTATTTCCCCATTCCTTGAATTTAGACTGGCCCTGTGACTTGCTTTGACCAATCGAATGCACTGGAGGTAGTCATGTGCCCACTCTACGCCTAGACTTCAAGAGATCCTGCAGTTTCTGCTCTTCCTGCTCTGGGAACTCTTCTCCCACTGCATGAACAACCTCAGGCTAGCCTGCCGGAGGACAAAAGACCATCTGAGTAGAAGTGAGTCCCTCAGACTAATCAGCTTACAGCTGACCTGGCAGCTTCCTGCTGTCACTTAAATGATCCTAGCCATGACCAGAAGAGCCACCTGGCTGAACCCAGCAAAACTGCCAACTCATGAAATTATGAAGTAGGTAAATATTTACTGTTTTAAGAAACTAAATGTTGGGGTGCTTGTTATGCAGCAAAAGCTAACTGATACACTATAAGAAGTCTATATTATAGCTGTAACCGGTTTGGCTCAGTGGATAGAGCGTCGGCCTGCAGACTGAAAGGTCCCAGGTTCGATTCCAGTCAAGGGCATGTGCCTTGATTGCGGGCACATCCCCAGTGGGGGGTGTGCAGGAGGCAACTGATCAATGTTTCTCTCTCATTGATGTTTCTGGCTCTCTATCCCTCTTCCTTCCTCTCTGTAAAAAATCAATAAAATATATTTTTTTAAAAAAGAAGTCTATATTATAATCACCAAATCTATTCACAACAAGGTTGGCTCCTGCCACCAGGTGGACTTAGTCAATCTCAGGGAATTCTGGTGTCTTCTTTACAAAGTTCTAAGTTAAGAAGACCCTCTGAGTGATGACTCAGGAGACTTGGAAAGACCCTTGTGAGTCCAACCACCTCATTCCACTGTTAGGAAAATTCAAGTCAGAGAAAAGAAGGAGCCACATCCACTCATTACGCAAATCTTTCTTGAGTGCCTTCTATATGCCAGGCTTTGTGCTGCAATGGAGGACACAACTGTGAAAAAGAGAGACCAGATCCTGCCCTCTTGGAGGACACAGTCTGGAGTGGAAATCAGATGTTAACCAAGTCATCACACAAGTAAGCAGACGACCACACATGGTGGCAGATGTCGTGAGTTAAAAGGAAATGGTACCATGAGAGAGAATCATGCAGAGGGGACCTAATTGGGATTCTGGGGTCACCAAGAGCTCTCTAAAGAATGACATTTAGGCTGAAACAAGTTGGTGGCAGCCTTGAGGTGGGACTGGAGCTCTCCACATACACAGCAAGGTAATGTGTGCAGCTCTGAGTCCCAGCTATGCAGGTTCAAATGCCAGCTGGACTGCTCCCAGGATGAGTCAGTAAACATCCTTGAGCCTCAGTTGCTTGATCTATAAAACGGGGTTAATAATGTCTACTCCTCCTCAAGACAGCCTGCTGCGAGGACCCTCCCGGAGTCCCAGCCTGCGGTGAGGAAACTCCCGGCATCAGAGTGTATGAGGATGCTCCCAGCTGAAAAACGCCTTCATCATCAGAGACCAGGCTTTCAGTGGGAAATCAAATTCCAGCAGGAGAAACCCACATGCCTTTGCATGAGGTGTACGCCTCCACGCCAACGTATGCCCCCAGGGGTGCTCTGTGGTGGCAAGGGTCCGGCAGCACCAGGGAACATGTGACATCTCTATTCAGTGCTGCTGAAATTCCCCCTCTGTGCATGGGGAATATGGACAACACATTTTGAGTTTTATCCTATTTTTAGTAATGGTAGGTGATTGACAGAAAACACTATAGTCCTGGTTTATCATCCCTTTTAAGGGGATTCAACTGACATTCTTAATTATTCTGAAAGAGGACAGTGGTGGGCTGTGCCTCCACTCTGTACCCCTCCCACCCCAGGGCAGCTTGGCTCCAGCCAGCCCAAGGCTAGGCACCTCCCACCCAACTCAGAAAGGGCGGCGCACCCACCTGGCTGGTTGATAGAAGCTCTGGGTTTCCGTCACTCATCCCCACGTAGGCACTGTCACCATCGAACTGGAACACAGAGAGAGAAGCAGCTCTGAATAGAATGTTCTCAGGAAGGCCCAGGAGAAGCCAGAGGAGGCCAGGGGACTGGATGCTCGGAGGGGGGAGGAGCAAAGATGGAGCCCAGGCGTCCCTGTCAGCAGGGATCCCTCCAGGGTGGAGCAGCAGCCCAGCTCCCTGAGGGTGAGCATCATTCATCACACGTAGGACGAAGCGAAGAGAACCTTTCTGCCCTTTATACCTTGTCCACAGAGGTGGCAGCCTGCCTTGCCTGATACTGAGCTCCCCATCTCTGGAAGTATGTAAATCTCTCTCTTGGCCAAAATGACCGCAGGCTACCAGCGAGAGTTGGAATTCCACATGATGGAGGGAGGCTGGGGTCTCCAGAGCTTTGGTGGCATGACAGCCTGCCCCAGATGTGCCCTCCAGGTCTTACCATCCTAAGTTGCTCTGCCCCCTCACATTTGCCCCTTAGGCCACCGCTGGCTGCAGGCAGTGAGGACCGTGGTGGGAACCATGTAGAGGAACTACAGTCCTATGTTCTGAGCAGCTGCCAAGTCTGGATTCAGGAAGAGTTCTGTGCAGAGGGAGCAGGTGCAGTGGGAGAAGCCTGGGCTCTGGGGCCACTGGCTGCCCTTTTCCCTGATGTGTCACCTTAAGCTGGTGACAGAACTTCTGAGGTTCCTCATTCATTGAACGGGGATAATGAGAGTCCCCTCTTCATGGGATGTTGCACTGACACCAGCAGAGCACCTGGTTCAATTCCAGGTAGTTGCCTTCCCTTAAGACAGGTGACTTGGACCATGTTCCCTAGAAGTAGAGCCTGAGTCAAAAATTCAAATGCATGTGGTTTGGGAGAAGTACCCGTTAGGAATACCCGTACAGGGAAGGAGGGAGGTAGGACAGGGCAGTGCAAGGAGCTAAGCAAAGGATGTGGTCTCCGCTGGAGGCTTGCTGCAGCCTGATCCCATGGGGAGCTCTGCCCATGAATTGCACCATCCAGTTAGTCCCAGCATGAAGCGAGAGGCTGGCCTTTTGTAGCTCCACTGGCTGTGGGCTGCCCCTAGCAGACAGGTGGAGGCACAGCCTTCTGAGTAGGGCAGCCCCTGTGTGGCCAAGGACAGCTCGCCAGAGAACTGTGCCAGCTGTGAGCCATTTGCTGCCAGAGCTCACGACAGGTGGGGGATGGCTGTGCTAGCTAGTGAAGTGTCTGGGTGGGGCACCAACAGCAGCTGGCCATTTTCATTGGAAATTTCATTTTATTCCTTAGGTCCATGGTTGGCAAACTGCAGCTCGCAAGCCACATGCGGCTCTTTGGCCCCCTGAGTGTGGCTCTTCCTAAGCCTTAGGAGTACCTGAATTAAGTTAATAACAATGTACCTACCTATATAGTTTAAGTTTTAAAAATTTGGCTCTCAGAAGATTTCAATCGTTGTACTGTTGATATTTGGCTCTGTTGACTAATGAGTTTGCCGACCACTGCCTTAGGTGATAGGCACATGGTTCAAAATTCCCAAAGTACAAAAAGCAACAGAGTGAAAAATCTCTTCCCACCCTATCTCCCAGCCATCCGTTGCCTCTCTCCAGGGGTAGTCGCTGCATCTATCAGCTTCCTTTATATCCTTCCAGAGATGGCCTGCATGTATACATTTCATAGTCGTTTCTTTCACACACATAACAGCATATTATACACACTGTTTTACACCTTATGTTTCTCCTAGCAACACATCTGGGAAGCCTTATTTTTATTTTTGGAATATGTTTTTATTGATTTTTTTAGAGAGAGAGGAAGGGCGAGGATAGAGAGATAGAAACATCAATGATCAGAGAGACTCATTGATTGGCTGCCTCCTGCATGCCCCCCACTGGGGATCAAGCCCACAACCCAGGCATGTGCCCGGAGCCCACAATCTGGGCATGTGCCCTTGACTGGAATACAACCTGGGACCCTTCACTCTGCAGGCCGACGCTCTGTCCACGGGGCCAAACCAGCTAGGGCTAATTTTTATTTTTGGAATATGTTTTTATTGATTTTTTTAGAGAGAGAGGAAGGGCGAGGATAGAGAGATAGAAACATCAATGATCAGAGAGACTCATTGATTGGCTGCCTCCTGCATGCCCCCCACTGGGGATCAAGCCCACAACCCAGGCATGTGCCCTGACTAGAAATCAAACCAGCAACCTCCTGGTTCATAGGTCGGCACTCAATCACAGAGCCGTGCTAGCTAGGCTGGGAAGTTTTTTATATCAGCACAGAATTCTGTCTTCTGGTACTTAGTACCCCACGGGATGGACGCAACATATACACGGAACTGGTTGGGCACAGGGCAATTGAGTTGTTTCTATGAATAGTTTTGTGCGCCCATCGCTTCGTCTGTGTCATCGCTGGGTCCAGCTGTGTGTACCTTTGTAACATTGATAGACATTGCCAAGCAGCTCTCATGGAGGCTGTGAAGGTCCACACTCCCACCATCAGGCACAAGATGTCAGTCCATCCAGACCCACTTCAGTCAGAGCAGCTTTCCTCACAGCCAGGCTCCACCACCACCACCACCAGCCCCAGGTCCCCTTCCCGCCCTGCTCCTCCCTGTTCTTTGCTCCATAGCCCCCTTTATCTTCTAGCATCTCCATAATTTACCACGTTCACTGCTTATAGCTGGACCCTCACACACATACTAAAGTGGAGGCTCCCGGGCACCTAAAATAGTGCCTGGCACACAGGAGATAATAAATGCTTATGGATGGGTGGGTGGGTGGATGGATAGATGGATGGAACACATTATCTTTACCAGCGCAGTCTTCCCATCAAAGGCAGTGGAATTAGTGGTTACACCCAAATGCCTTCCCAGCACAGGGACAGGCAGAAATCCTTCCGTGGCTGCTGAATTAGCTAAAGAAAAGGCCATGTCATGCCTAGGATCTGGGCAGTGACTCCAAATGCATAGCTCCATCTACACACTGGACATAGAGCTCACGCTTCAAGGCCCTGCTCAGAGATCACCTCCTCCAGGAGGTCTCCCATGCCGTCACCTCCTCTGACTTACAACATAGATTGTCTGCACGTCTGTCTTCTGCCCGTGTGGGAGCAACATCGAGGTTGGCACAGTGTTCTGGTCATCTCCAAGTCCCAGCACCCGCCACAGGCTGGCATGAGAAATGGGACTGTGAAATGAGCAGGGAGCTTTCAACAAAAGCTCCTGGGTGTCACTTGGGCCATCTATTACTTTGATAAAAGTGAAACTTTTTTTAAAAACCACATATAATTTATAGGTATGTTCTAAAAGAAAGAATGGAAATGGAGGGAGATGAAGTTTAACCAGGTACTTGAAACATTTGATAAAGCAATAGGAATCAAACAGTGCTGTATGGGTTAAAAACATGGGCATCTGTATTGAAGAAGAAGAGGGAACTATTACCCCAAAGGCCTGTGTGTGGCCCATCTGTTAAATGCTGGCCGGGACGGGGCCACCATGAAAGGAGGGGCCCTGCGTGCTTTCTCCCTCGATGCACACAGCAGGCACTCAACAAGTGCTGAGTGTACCCACCACCGAAAATACTCTCCGTCAAAGGTCTCATTCAAACCTGCAACAACCTAAAGCAGCAGGCGCTATCTTCCCTGCTGAGGAAACGGGTTGAGACGATAAGCAGTTGCCCGATGGTGCAGGTGGGGAGAGGCTGGACTTCCGAGGGTCTGTTTGCCTCTTCGGCTCGCTCTCCGGGCTGGGAGCTGCTTGGCAGCAGGGACCAGGCTTTGCTGCACTCGCACTGCATAACCGATGATCAGCTCGGCCCTGGCACATGCTAGGTGTGTGAGGAGGATGTGTTAGTGGTTTGGGAGGGAGGACTTGTCTGCAGTGAGCAGCGGGGAATGGCACTGGGGATGGGAGCAAGAGGGACCCTGGATTTTGATGTGTGTGCTGGGGGTAGGAAGGTGGTCAAGCAGTGGGTCCCCTGACATGACCAGAGCCTGCCTCCAGTGGACTTACTCACTCACACATCTCCTCCACATGTGGGAGTCAGGCCTGCTTCCTGCTTTTAAGGGGCACCTGAGGAGTTGGTGGCAATTCTCAAGGCAGGGGCTGGGTCAGCCTCCATTTGGTTACCCTGGTGCCTGGCATGGGTGCTGGGAGCACACTGGGCTTGGGACCTGGCTACTGAGCAGCCATGAGCAGAGCCCTGAGATGGGGGGACATCCTTTCTCTGTCCACCTCTGCCTAGGGTAGAAAGGGGGAAGAAAGGAGAGGGGGGGACCCCAAGGGCTCCCAGTTTTCCCAGGGCTTGTGTCCCGGGCACTAAGGCCTGGCTTACCCCTCAGCCTTCCCCCTGAAGGGTCCTTTCTGAAAGAAAGAACTTACAGGTCACAGGGAGATATCACTAAGCCAGCCTCTGTGCTCACAGCAGGGCCACCTCCTTCTCTGTGTGCACAGGCATGATGGGAACACCACATCCACAACCACCACACAGTGAACGCTCAGTGTGTGTGTGACCACAAAGGTATACAACGTATACAGTGTGCCCAAGCATGGTGACCGCATATGCACCACAAACCAGTGGGGGCCCATGTCACACAGAACACAGCGCTCAACACAGCACTTAGTCACACATGTACCACATCCATGGGTTACACAAACCAACACGAACAGGTGTGTCCACAGCATAAGCATGAGTGTGCACATATCAGAGACCATTTACAGGCCAGAGTACACAATACACAGCATGCACACATGGGAAGAGGGGAGGCCCAGGTGTGTGTAAATACACCATGTGCAGCCGTGTAAATAGAACTCACATGGATGTGCACCCAAACACGTATGGCTTGAGCAGGTAGAGACATACAAAGCAAAGATGCCCATGGACTTACAGTCTGTGCATAGCTCACAACTCATCAGTCCCTCCGTCAAAAACCCCTTTTCACACCACACAGCCCTCTGTATGCTTTACAACGTGAAAAGAAAAATGTAGAGGGACAGATCAGTCTAAGAATTTCCATGAAGCGCCAGAACCATCCT